GCTATGGTTTCTAGTACTTTGATGAAACCTCAGCCATGTGATTATCTGGCCAAGCATTTACACTTTCTTACTGTTAGAATGCTCATTGTATTCCTGAGGTTCACAGCTTCTGTAAGTTCATGGTGATTAAACTAAGAAAGATGCTATATGGTGAGCTCTACTGAAGTTATGAGTCCATAAAATATTTTGAGGAAATGATGACTGGAATAAACTGATATTGAAATGTAAAGAATTTCTATGAATTTAATCCCACAGATTAAATTGGGCTGGAGCGATAGCACAGCGGGTAGGGCGTTCGCCTTACAAGCGGCCAACATGGCCGACCCGAGTTCGATTCCTCCGCCCCTCTCGGAGAGCCCGGCAAGCTACCGAGAGTATTTGATATGCCAAACACAGTAACAACAAAGTCTCCAATGGAGACGTTACTGGGCCCGCTCGAGCAAATTGACGATCAACGGGAGGGCCTTTACCTTTACCTTTACCTTTAATCCCACAGATGTTTGTTGCTGACATGTTTTTCTGAACTATAAAAGATTTATAGATTAAGGGATAGTTTTTTTTTTTAATTTAGTCATCTTGAAATTACAAAGTCATTCATTCTTTGGCTTCAGGCATACAATGTTTCAACTCCCATTCATTTACCAGTCTCCACATTCCTCCACCAAGAATACCCCCACCCTAACCCCATTTACCTACCACCCACAAGTCTACGTCTTTAGGGGATACATTTTTTTTTTTGGCTTTTTGGGTCACACCCGGTAATGAACAGGGGCTACTCCTGGCTTTGCACTCAGGAATTACTCCTGGCAGTGCTCAGAGGACCACACGGGATGCTGGGAATCAAACCCGGGTTGGCCGCATGCAAGGCAAATACCCTACCTGCTATACTATCACTCTAGGCCTCTAGGGGTTACGTTTTTAACATATAAGTTTTCGCACTGTAGTTTTCTGTACTGTTGCTGATAGGGTTTTATATAGAATACATTTCCACCTTTCAGTAACAGCTCCTCCTTCTAGTTGAATGCTTTACTCCACCATAGATATTCCCCACTTCCTGTCCTACCCCCAGCCCCCTCAAGTGGCATGTTTCTTACTGAATACCAGTTTTCATGTTCTTTGTTTCCTTTGTCTTGGGTGTTCATTATTCCACTATTATATATATATATATTAATATCTTTCCTATGAGAGAGATCATTCTGTGTCAGTCTTTTACCCTCTGACTTTACTCAGCATGATGCTCTCCTAATCCCTTTATGTAGCAGCAAATTGCATGACTTTATCTTTACTTACACTCAAGTTATATTTCCTGTGCATATGTACCATAGTTTCTTCATCCACTCATCTGTTTTTGGACACTTGGATTGCTTCTCGATTTTGGTTATTGTGAGAGTACTGCAGGAAACACAGAGATGCAAATGTCTCTTCCCCATTTTGTTCTTGGGCCCTTGGAGTATATTATAAGAAGTGGGGTTGCTGGGTCAAATGGAAGCTCAGTTCCTAGATTGTATATAAATGTCCATGCTATTTTCCAGAAATACTGGACTAATTGACATTCCAATCAGAGTGAATGAGATTCTCTTCCTCCCTCATCCACGCCAGCACAGGTTGTTCTTTTATTATGTGCGCTGTCTGTGGTAAAAGATATTTCATTGTTGTTATTATTTGCATCCCCCTAAGAAATTGTGATGCAGAGCAATTTTTATGTGCTTTATGGTCATTTGAGGAAGTTTTCTCTTCTCCCCATTTTTAAAAAATTTTTATTAGTGAGACCATGAGGTACAGTTGTAGACTTACAAATTTTTGTGCCAGAGTTTCAATTATACAATGATCAAATACCCATCCCTCCACCAGTGCCCATTTTCCACCACCACGGATCCCAGTATCCCTCCCATCCCCCATCCTCCCATCCCACCCTGCCTCTGTGGCAGGGTATTCCCTTTTGTTCTCTCTCTCCTTTTGGGTGGCGTGATTTGCAAAAGAGGCAATGAGTGGCAATCATGTTTGGTCTATAGTGTACTTTCAGCATGCTTCTCCCCATTTTTAATGGGATTAGATTCCATTACTTATAAAGTTCTACCTGTGCCTTATGTATCTTGGATATTAACCCCTATCAGAGGAGAGTTGGGTAAATACCTTCTACCATTTTGTGGGTTGTCTTTGTATCCTGCCCAGCATTTACTTGGAGGTGCAGAAGTTTATTAATTTAATAGTCCCATTTGTTTATCTTTACTTCCACTTGCTTAGCTAGTGGTGTTTTATCCTTGAAGATACCTTTAGCTTCAATGTTATGGAGAGATATGTCTATGTTTTCTTCTATGTACTTTATGATTCAGGTATGATATCAAGGTACTTATTCTATTCTGATTTAGTTTTTGTGCATGCATTAGAAAGAGATTTGAGTTCATTATTTTTTTGCATGTGGCTGACCCAGTACTACTTGTTTAAAATGCTGTCCTTCATATTTTTTGTTTCTTTTTCAAAGACTAACTGATCATATACATAAGGGTCTGTCTTAGGATCCATCTCTATTCCATAGTCTTTAGTGTCTGTCTTTATTCCAATACCATGCTGTTGTTATTACTACCACTTTGTAGTATAGTTTGAAGTTAAGGAAATTGATGATCTCATCTTTTTTCCCCAAGTATTGCATTAGGTATTTGGTCGGGGGGAGAGGGTTATTGCTCTATATAAATTTCAGAAATGTTTTATCTGTTTTTTTTAAATGTCACGGGCATCCATAGAGGGACTGCATTGAATCTGTGTGATGCTTTGAAAAATACTGTCATTCTGATGATATTAATTCTCCCAGTCGATGAGCAGGGGACATTTTCCATTTCCTTGTGTCCGCTCTTTTTTTTCTTGATGTAATATTTTGTAGTTTTCTTTGTGTAGATCTTTCCCCTCCTCAGTTAAACTGATTCTGAGGTTACTTGATTTTTTTCTGAGGCAAATTGTGAATAGAATTAAAAAAAAGAACTTTCACTTCTCTTTCATTATCTGCATCTAGGAAAGCAATGGACTTTTGAGTATTAATTTTGTAGGCCACTTTACTATGCAAATCTTTGTTTCTAGGATATTGTTTTAGAGTCTTTAGAATTTTCTTAATATAATATCATGTCATCCACAAATAGTGAGAGCTTGACTTCTTCCTTTCTTACATGGATACCCTTGATATATTTTTCTTGCCTAATTTCTATGGCAAATACTTCTAGTTCTGTGTTGAATAGAAGTGGGGAGAGACAGCACTCTAGTCTTGTGCCTGATCTTTGAGGGAAGGATTTTACTTTTTCCTCATTGAGTATAATGCTTACTGTAGTCTTGTGGTAAATAACTTTGATTATGTTGAGGAAAGTTCCTTCAGTTCCCACTTTGTTGAGAATCTTTATCAGGAATAGTTTCTCCTGATAACAAGGACCATGATAAGCAGCAGGGGAAGCTTTTATGTTATATTAGTGTTGCCTTTGGATATTTATCATATTTTAAATTAAAATTGAGAATTTTTAAATTATTTAAAATACAATGACATGTAGATTATTAACTATATTTTATGACAATCTCATTCTCTGCAATGGAATTGAAGTGTGACATAGTTTTGTATTTTATGAAGATTCACAGAAGTCAGATAGATACTTGTTAACTATTTCTTCCTTCAGCTTATAAAGTAGTTATGTGTTTTGTACCTTTGAAAACTTTGCTTTATAATCAGGAGAGAAAGAAGGTGAAAAAGGTTTTGGTATCCATTTTTTAAAAACTTTAGTATTGCTTGGGCCGCAGTAATGAAACATGTTGGGCCTCTTGGGATGGGGGGCGGGGAGCCGGGCCAATCCTCCCCACCCCAACGAGACCCCAAGTCATCGCCCACAAACGGCCTCTCTGGCTCCTCATTAAGCTGCTCAACGGCCATGATCCCAGAGAATCGGGAGCAGATCTCGAAACCCAGTGGCTTTTGGCAGAAATTCCTCCAGATTTAAGTGTTAAAATTTCGGAATTTCAAAATCACATGGCCCTACTGCAGCCACACAACATCATATGTTATTCATAACCAGCAATAGAATATAACTTGTCTATTGTTGCCTTTTCAGCAGATCTGAGTGTTGGGGTAAAATCTCAAATAATGGTGGGTCTGGTGTCGAAATAGTGAATGTGATCAAAGTAGAGAGAGAGTAATGTGGAAATCATCTGCCCCACAGGCAGGGGGAGGGTTTGGGATGGGGGTATACTGGGATTTTTGGTGGTGGAGAATGGGCACTGGTGAAGGTACGGGTGTTTTATTGTATGACTGAGACTTAGACCCAAAAGCTTTGTAACTGCTCTCATGGTGATTCAATAAATAAAATTATAAAAAATGGAAAAAAAAAGTAAGGTGGAGTTCATGCACAATTCAATCAGCTAATCAGTGGCTGAATAAATAGCAGTACTCCTACCAAAAAAAACTTTAGTATTGATTATTAGAGTAGTTTTGACAGCTGGACTCAGTTGATAACCATCCATGGCTCCCTGAACAGTGCTTTCAGAACTGCAAACACAAGCAAATAAAAGGGAATATAAGCAAATCCCTTGAGCGTGCTTGGCCTTTAACTGTGGAAGTCAAGTCTACATAAAACTTGGTCACAAATGACCTCTCAGTAGCCCCCTGAATTGGATGGCCCTTTTCCTTCCCCTCTTTCCTTTACCCTTTCTACTTTCTTTCCCTTGTCTACTTTTCTTTCTACTGAAAAATGAGTTAAGAAATTACCAGACCCGTAAAAATCTAGTTAGTAACTAGGTCACTGTAGTCCATCTAACTCTAAAGTCTGTGCTGTTATGCTCCTCTCTACTCTCCCATCCCCCAATCTACTGTCCTATATGCATTATTTGGCTCTTTACCGTGATGTATTCGATATGCCAAACACAGTAACAAAAAAGTCTCCAATGGAGACTCTACTGAGCCCGCTCAAGCAAATCGATGAACAACGGGAGGACAGTGATACAGTGATGACTATTAAAAATAAATCGTGTTCATACTCTGATTTCTCTTCATATTGTACAAATCTTTTGCCTTCTACTAAAGATTTCCAGGGAGAGGAACGATTCTGAGTGTTTACCCAATGTTTTGAGGACTTGCTTTTGACAAGGCTTATACAAACAAATACATAATCTGTATAGTTAGGGCTATGGCTGTAGCTCAGTGGTAGAATATGTAGCTCTTATGTGTGATGATCTGTGTTTAATACTCATATCTATATAGTACCTGAATATAGTTGACATATCCAAAGTATGCAACTATAGCTACTCTTCTCTCTTATCCAGCAAGTCCTCTCGTGGCTCTACATAGTTTGGTTTCTAATCTTCCTTGATATCTTGATATCTTTGAAGGTCTCTTAGAGATCTTTCTCTCACTTGGGTTTCTGTCTCTCTTGTCCTCTGAGACACTGTTCTTGGGTGTCCGAGTTCATAGTCTGGTCCTAATGCTCGACTTTAGATATTGACTCCTGAACTTCCCATGGATTGAAGATCGTTAGTCCTATAATATGACTCTTTGTTCTGACTGAAGAAATTTTACCATAGATTTTCTTGTCTGTATTCTGAGCACTGTTAATTTTTTCTAGTTAAGTTTGTTCATCTTTCATTTTAAAAGGAGCTAAAAATGTGAGTGTTTACTGATTCATGATCTCTTTCAGAATTCAAAGTTGCCAAAAGACAAAACTGGCACCACCAAGATTGGTGATCTCGCACCCCAGGACATGAAGAAAGTTTGCCCAATAGTCCTAGTTGAACTGACTGCTCTCTTTGATATCTTGGGGGTTGAACTGAAGCAACAAAAAGCTGTGAAAATCAAAACAAGAGGTAATCTTGAAATAAAAAAAAATTACTTCTGTTGCAAGGATGTTCTTGGGTTTCTGTCTATTTTGGAGAATAAATACCTACACTTTAACGAAAATTGAGTACAACCGAAGTTCAGACTCTGAAATGTTGCCTGCTGGTCCAGAAGGAGAACTCAATGGGCTGTTGCAAGCTCTGCATGTAGAAGGCCTGAGTTTGATTCCTGGCACTGAACCAGGAGTAGCGAACTGAATACTGATAAATGTGGCCCCCTCCAAATAAAATATTTCTTTCAAAAATATAGCATTTGATAAAAATACTCTGTGTCCTAGACTACAAAGGTCATAATCAAATATTTAATTACTATAAAAGGGAATTATGATCAAAGAATATTAATGATTATGCTCTTTTTTAAAAGCACTATATATTTTGGTCTGGAGCGATAGCATAGCAGGTAGGGTGTTTGCCTTGCACACAGCTGACCTGAATTCAATTCCCAGCATCCCATATGGTCCCCCAAGCACTGCCAGGAGTGATTCCTGAGCACAGAGCCAGGAGTAACTCCTGAGCATCGCCAGGTGTGATCCAAAAATCAAAAATAAATAAATAAATAAATAAAATAAAAGCACTATATATTTAAAACAATTTTAACTTTAAAAAAATGTTTGGTACTGGGGGCTAGAGCGATAGCACAGCAGATAGGGGGTTTGCCTTGCACACGGCCAACCCGGGTTTGAATCCCAGCATCCTGTGTGGTCCCCTGAGCACTGTCAGGAGTAATCCCTGAGTGCAGAGCCATAAGTAACCCCTGTGCATCGCCGGATGTGACCCAAAAAAAGCAAAAAAAAGTGCATTTCTGGTGGAGTTCATGCCCAATTCAATCAGCATAATCAGTGGCTGAATAAATAGCAGTACTCCTACGTTATCAAAAAAGAAAAGAAAAGAAATTTGTATGTATATTCATTTCCAAATCTTATCTTTAAAAATGACTCTATCAGCCACCTTAAATAAAAACTTGTGCATGTTCAAATTGTACTCTACTTTATAAAAATATAACATTTATTAAAATAATACCATTGTGGCATACAATTGCATTTAATTGTATTCATCATAGATCAATGTAGTTTTTAGTTTGTAAGCAGCTTGTTTTAACCATTATATAAATAGAATCTTTTTTAAAAAGTATGCTACAGAATAGACATTTCTTAGAAATGTTTGTGTCTTCCCAAGATTTTATTAGTCTGGAAATTCAGATGATTCTCTTTTGACATTCTTTACTTCTTAGGAATCTCTGTTTCCTTTAATTTTTGTTTTTTAACATTGAAGTTATCTGCTAAAGAGAAAGCAAGAATGTGGATTATGAAGTTGCTATGGTAACATTAGCAAAGACAAACATGCACCTGATTTAAGTTTTAAAAGCAATTTCTCTCTAAGACTAAAGTGTATGTTCCCTTCAGGTCCTTCCTACCATGCTGTGTCCCTTGAGACCTCATTCTGTGCTCAGTTTCTCTGCATTTTAGCTTAAAGCTTGGTATGGTAAATTCTTGAGTTAAAAGAATAGTTCGGGTTTTCTCAAATCTAGTGTGGTTGACAAAGATTTTTGATGATATTTTAAGGGTAGTAACAAAGCCATATAAAGCAGAAATATAATTTAGACTGTGATAGTACACATAACTTTGCAAATGAGTTATAAAATGTTTTTTATGTGAGGTTACCCAATAGATTCATAGGAGAGAAAAACATATCAACCATTTCTGATTATCACTGTTTTTTCTGTGGAGGGGTGGTATTTGTACCACACCCTGCAGTGCATGGAACTACTGCCTCCTCTGTGCTTAGGGGACTATGCAGTACCAGGGGTCAAACACAGGTTTTCTACATGTAAAGCATGTGCTCAGAGTATTGAGCTATCTATGGCTCTGGCCCACTGCATATCGCTATTGATAGATTCTTCTTTCTTCTATGTATTTTGTATCTTATTAAAGGTACACTCCTTATAAAGTGAACTTTTGGCATTTTTGATGATTATGTCTAATGTTTAAACTCCTAAGATTTTTTTTAGATTTGCTAGCGTTCTCTTGAATGACATTCCTGTTGAGTCTCATGGTTTCCAATGTCTTGTCCTCACCACAAGGTACTCCTTTTTCTGTGCTGACAAATGATTTACACATCTGTTGATGATGGCTGTCACATTTTCATGTTAACTATTCACTTAGTGATGGGGTGGGGGTGTGATTGATTGGTAGAAACTATGTTCAGACCAATCTCTAGGCATTTTCTTTTAATTTAGAAAAATTGTAAATCAGTACCTGTCATTTCTTCTGAAGTTATTCCCACATAAACAAAACTGCACATTTGAATTTAGAAATGCCAAGTATCTACCTTTTTTTTTTTTTAAAGAAAAGCATTTGTAGAAAAGGATAATAATATTGGATCATTTCTTGAAAATGTTTATACTTTGCTGTATTACAGAACATTAAATGTAAAGTAATATATGCTTTTTGCCAGAACTTTTAATTTTATTACAGTTAGTATATTTGTATTTCTGCAGTACTTATTGCTTGTAGATAGCAGTTTATACTTTTAAAAATAATTTTGGTATTAATGCAATCATTTGTTGTTTCTCCTTTTTTTAATTGCTCTGTATGGAAGGGCCAGAATTTTCCTATTAGTATGTGTGTACCTAATGAGCAGACAATATTATTCACTTAGCAGATACTCAGTGAATGGTTTTCTGTGTGCTGGGGATGTACCTGAGTCATGCAGTGAGTGCTTTGCCTGCATGATACTCTAGGTTCAATCTCTGACATTTAAAAAGAGAGGTAAAGAAATTGTTGTCTGATTAGATTACTGTATTAGGAAGTTTATGCCTTAGCATCTTTAATGGTAATTTATTGTTTGGTTAAACTGAAGAAACTTTTTGTTTCATTGTTTTAGATTCTGGCCTCTTTGGTGTTCCACTGACAGTATTGTTAGAACAAGATCAGAGAAAAATACCAGGGACTCGAATACCCTTAATATTTCAAAAAGTAAGTACATTTGAATGGGTCAGCATAGAAAGAACATGCTTGGTCTAATAGTCCTCTTTTTTGCATTCATGCTATTATAATATAGTTTTCCAATTGATATGCTCTTTTATTTTGTGCTTTGATTTTGTATTCAGAAAACAAATTTGTTTCAAGAGCTCATAATTTTTATTTCATGGTGATGCTTTCTGTGTTATTACTGTAGCTGTGATTACCTGGCATCATTTTCCTGTCTTATATTATCTGGCTTTGTATAATTGAGATTTCAATTCTATAATACATAGGAGTTGGAACTGCTTATAAATTTCTAGAGAATTGAATCCTCATGAATATTTCATGTCTGTATGTATTTCCCAAGCTTTTCTATTTACAGTGAGGATGTCCAATTTAATTTAACAGTGCCTACTTCCAAAGTAGGCAGAGAAGCCATAAAGTAGAATTAGAAGCTGATTGCTAAACTATCAAGTCACTTTTGTAGTCAACACTCAATTATTCATAAGGGGATTATCTATGGCAATAAAGAAAATTCAGTCTAACCTCTGAGCCTCATTGCTTAGAAATAGAATACATTTGCTAAAAACGGAGAATACCCAGTGAGGAACACAGATCATATAGTTTACAAACTATCCAAGTATCTTTCTTGAAGATTCTTGGTTTTTGAAAATTCTGAGGGTAGTTAAGTGTACCAATTGTACCTTTTAAGGTTGTTTGTTGTAATAAACTCATTCAATATTAAAATGATGCATTTGCCACTAATTTTTTTCTTATTCCAAACTCTGCGATAGATACTAAGACATTTCTTTTATTCGTGTAATAATCCACAAGCATCAATTTTTTAGAACAGGAATCTATATGAATACTTATCAATGTTGCCTGTAATTAAGAGAAAGATGTCAATAACTGTAGGCCATATATTTACATTCTTTTAGTGGCCATAGGACATGTAAGTTACTATGCACAGTTTACTCTTCAAAGAAGGGATATTATAATATCAGTTCTCTGGAATTACAGTTCTGGCAAGAGTCAACAGAGTATGTCTGTGTGCGTGCCTGCATGTGTGCATGTGTGTTTGTGTGTGTATGAGATTGAGGAATTTATTTCAAAGAATTGTTTTATGCAGTTGTGAGTGTTGGCAGATCTTAAATATGGAGAGCAACAGTTTGGAAACTTGTGCAAATGTTATTGTTGTAGTCAAAATCTACCCCCTAAAAACTTACACAGAGTTCTATGCTGCAATCTCAAAGGCAGAGTTGCTCTTTGGTTTTGTAACCTTTAATTTACAGATTGAGGCCCATTTGTGTTATGTAGAGTACTTTACATACTTTACATTTGTACTTTAGTCAAATGTTACTAAATCCAAAAAGTAAAATCACAGCTACATGTAAACTGATGTACGACCACATGTGTGTACCATATCCCAGTCAAGTTGACATATCAGATTTTTCATTGCACCAGTGAAAGGTAAGCTTTGGTTGCCACAAAGATTCAGTGATACCCTTTGATCAAGGCTCAAGATTTCATGCAATCATTTCTCATTTTCTCTTGAAATTGCTCCTTTCTTTCTTTAACATTTTTGACTCTGCAGTGTTCTGGCTTCTCTGATATTTGAAGTCATCAAATAATAGCACTAACAGCTTTATGCTCTTTTTTTTCTTTTAAAGCACATAGAGTTTACTCTTAAATTACCACCTATCTATTTGCATACTTGCTAAAGAAAAAAATCACTGTAATTTATGAAAATATTGTTTAGTTATTAACTGACAATTGAATTAGGTATTATCTTGATTTTTTTTCAGAGAATTGGATGAAAAAAATTGTGCAAGATTTATTATTAATCTTTAAGGAATTATGTTTTCTTAATCACTGAGAAGTGTATCTAAAGAGGGCCTTAGTTAAACTTATTTAATATATGTGAATTGTATTTATGTGTATTTTTTTTACTTAGATTCACATTGTTTGAACATATTCTCAGAAAGGATGATGAAAATAAAAATATGCATTTTTAATTTTTAATTTATGGAAAAATTCTACCGAATTATCAATTTCTACTCTCATTGTCACCCTAATCAGCAAAGTCTAACATACTTTGTATAAAAGTAAAGAGGACCTAATTTTAATTCATTTTTTAATTCATATAAATTTATTTTGGGAAATGCTAAGGAAACTGCTGATATGGCTAAGAATGTATCTTTAAAATTAGTTGTTTTTTTTTTAAATTTATTGAATCACTGTGGGAAAAGTTATAAAGCTTTCAGGTTTAAGTCTTGGTCATGCGATCATCAAACACATTTCCCTTCACCAGCACTTATTTTTCACCACCAAGAACCCCAACAACCCCCCCAACCCTCTCAATGCCTGTGAGGCAGATGAATTCTAGTTAACACTATATCTACTTTGATTAGATTCATTGTTTTGACAAAAGATGCACCATTATTATTTAGAGTTAACACCCCCAAATCGGACATGCTGAAAAGGCATTGTGAAATAAATTGTTTTCTACGGCAGTTTACAAGAATCAAATGATTTTGGATTTCTGGTATTTTACTTATTAAGCCTGGAAGTATTTCTGCTGAGAGTCAGATAATTATGAGATTGGTTTCTGTGCTCTGGAGGCATGGCTGTGCCGGAGAGCCGCTCTTGGGGGGCAACTCCTGACCTCGGTAGGTTGTGAAGGACGAGCCAGGAACACCCCCTTCCCATGAGGTTTCAGTCACCCCATCACAACCGGCTCATACCTGGCTTTTCATAAAGCTCCGAAGTGGCTGCCATCTTTCTTTCCAGAGGGAAAAAAAGCTAAAATTAGTTTTTAAACTTGATATGATTAATGTATATATAAAATATCATTTTATTTCTCTATTTTTAAATAGAAGGAAAACTACAGAGTATTTATATTTTAATACAATGTAATATAATGTCTAAAAATGTTATTTCAGTTTTAGATATTGAATGAAGTAAATTTGAAAGTATTTTCATTAACTTGTCTGGTTATAGTACTTTCTGTGATCTTAAGGAAATCAACAATCAAATGCTGCTAAATGCAGATAATGTCCCAGCAGCTAGCATATAATTTATTTTTATAACTTTAATTTTTGTTGATAGGATAGTTAAAACATTTTGTAAGATGAAATAAAATTGCTTGTACATTGATTAGATTTTATATTATCTTATAAATTTGGCATTAGATATTTAATGATTCATGCCCATCTAATTAAAATAACTTATATAAATTTTTTCTCGGCATTATTTTAACTAGTGTAATTTATAAAAACTTAATCTTGGGAAATATTCCAGTTGAAATTTTTAAAACATATGTTCTACTTGAAATAGTCAAGATTGCTTCTCTTCAGCTCATAAATCCTTGGGAGAATTTTGAGACTTCCCTATGCTTTATTCTGACCTCTTTTGAGATTAGTACATTCCTTGGCTATAATCCAGGGACAGAAGAGGTGAGGTCATGCAGAAAAATTGCCATCTCCTCTCTTACCTATGTACTGCAATATATCTGACTTCAGAACATCTAGACAAAGGTCAAAGACCACATTTATGATTCCATGCTTTAGTTCTAAAAGACACTTTCATAAGCATAGCAAACACAGTGAGTTTAGCTGATAGATTCTTGATTAATCAATTTTACTCTCTTTTGACATACTGGGATATTTAATGTTTAGGGTGTACACCAAGTATCCGAGTAGGTTTGAAAATGAATGGAGTAGGTCTGTCTTTTATAAAGTGGATACAAAGAAAAAGGAGGTGATAGAAAGGAGAATCCATATGATTTTTGGAATGTCTTGTATTCAAACTGAGAACAAGGAAATTGATTTCCTTAAAATAGCAGTGTCTCTTCCTAAAGTCTTTGTGTCCTGCCTAGGGAGTGTATATTCCTCTTGGAAGATCACTGCCAAGAACTAACCACTCTTTTATCTTCTTCCTAGCCCCAGAAGTTTATCATTATGATTTCTCCATGTGCTTTCTTCGGACTTTTTGCCTTTTTGAAAGAAAATCTCTGTAATTTTATTGTGGTTCTGGAGATAGAACGATTTGGATGTATTCATAGGATATGATTTAGGAACCTTATATAAAAACTTTTTAAGTTTAAGCTTACTACAAAAGCTTAAAACCTTAAGAAGTCAATATTCGCCATTGTCCCTTGCCATATTATAAATTATTTTTCTTTGAGCAAACTAAAAATGAGAGGTGTATGTGTAAATACAAGAATTTCATAAGATTTATTTGATTGCAGAATAAATCTGGCTCTGTAAATTCAAGAGAAATGAATGCTCTTTGGTGCTTTTTCAATAAGGAACATCTACATTCTCAGTACTGCAGCTGTTGTGTGAAATTTCAGATTTCTGTTTCAAAAAAAATAATACACAATTTTTCTAAATTATAACTTAAGTTTTGGGCCTCTTTGGTTTAAAGGACAGTGGTAGTGACACAGCTTACACAACTTTATAAAATTCAGTTGCATGTCACTGCAAATGGTTTCCATTTATTTAAATGTGAAACACATGTGAAATTTGGAATTGTACCTGTTCTGAATACCAACATCAGAATGGTCTTTGCTTATGCACAGCTGATTTCTCATATTGAAGAAGGAGGTTTGGAAACAGAAGGTCTCTTAAGAATACCTGGAGCTGCATTTAGGATCAAGGTAATTTCTGATTTGTATTAATATTAATTTTCATTTTGCTTTATATTTATTTAGTTACTTTGCTTTTGTCTTGGGACTACATCTGTCAGTTCTCAAGGATGACTCTGGCTCTGTATTTAGGGATCATTCATGGCAGGCCAGGGGGAACATATGGGGTACCAAGAATTGAACACAGGCCTACAGCATGCAAAGCAGACACCCTTCTCACTGAACTATTGCTCTAGCCCCTTATTTTCCATTTTGAAAGTTAACTTGTTCTTTCCCCCTTCTTCCCATTTATAGAAAAACTCATGAAATCTAAAACAATAAAGGCTCAACTTTTGATTCGCACTTAGTTTTTCTATAGTCTTTTCTGAATTTTTGAGGATTTAAATGTTTTTCAAAATCCTCATAATTATCTGGGGATTATTTTGCACGATAATATATGTGATATTATATGTGATATTACTGTACATGAAAAGGCAAATAATTTTTATCTCTCCATTATAAAAACCTAAAATGGGAACCAAAGTATATAATCAAAGGCATGCTTAGTTCCCTGCTTATGACAAGAAAATGATACCATGAGTTAAAATATTAATAGGGACTTGTGATAGATTTGCTTAGATACCATGAGTAGTAGCAATTGAGCTTTTATCTTTTTTTTTTTTAGACAAGATGATAAATTCCATCAGGTGAGCAGAATAGACATTAATCCTGCCAAAAATGGTTAGTTATAATAAGAGCAATATCAGGCACTATCTATCAACCACCTTGTTGACATTCAGTTTTCTATCAGCACCATCGAGGGTAGATTACCCTAGATCTGGAAATTACCCTAGAAACTGGATTTGTTTGTTTCTCTTACAAAATGGCATTTCCTCCCCATTATCTTAAAAAGGTTCTGTGTGTTCTCTCTTTCTCTTGTCTACCTCTTACTCTAAAGAAGAGAGATTCTGGTGATACTCTAGCACTGTAACACTGTCCTCCCATTGTTTATCGATTTGCTCGAGCGGGCACCAGTAACATCTCCATTGTGTTACTGTTTTTGGCATATCGAATATGTCACAGGTAGTTTGCCAGGCTTTGCTGTGCGGGCAGAATACTCTCTGTAGCTTGCCAGGTTCTTCAAGAGGGGCAGAGGAATCGAATTCGGGTCGGCTGTATGCAAGGCAAACCTCCTACCCACTGTGCTTCACGACTGAGATGAAACAGACACCCCAAGCAGTCAGGTTGTAGAGTCTACAAAGTACCTCAGCCCACAAGGTGATTTGTAGTTGCGAAATCTTTAAGCTAAATTGATTGCAGTCACTTTCCTTAACCAATATATTGCTTCCTGAATCAGCAAATCCAAACCAGGATACAGAGAAGAGATATTCTGTTCATTTCTTTAAGACCTATTCTATACGGATGTTTTACAACTCTAATCGTAGCTGTGACACCTCCAGAACTGAATTCCTCCAGTCATAGATTCCTCATTTGGCTACTCATGCTTATTTTGATAAATTTCCTCCATGGAGGGGATGAATTTCGGCCTACTTTGCTTCCACTACATCATAATCTCAGTTTATTCAGATTCTAGTAACCTGATACACCCTAACGACACATTTCATTCAGCTTGTGTCCCTTGGGTTGTGTGTCTGGTACACAGAGACCCATGCAAATTTTTTCTTGTTCCTTTTAATTTAATAAGCTGTTATTGTCTTATTTCTTTTGAGAAAACCTATGGCAAAGTCACCACTTTGTATTGGACACAGTTATAGACATTGAGTGTGATTTCAAGATGAGTTTTATTGAGAAATTCATTTCCGTACAGAGAAAAAAATCCCTTAGAAACAGATTGTAGGACTTCCTATTACCTATATCAACAAGTATATAATTTTTAGTTCAATATTCAGAGCAGAATGTGGTGGCCAACTTAGAAGAGTCATAAACAGAATGTGTAGTGAATATAATGTGCAGTTTACCTTGTTCCAGAAGGCTGGAAGGACAATTGACCTAAAGGTAAATTCTAAGGAGGCCAAGTAAGTAGACTTGACTATTTAAACTCCTAGACTGTAGTCACATACCAAATTTATCAGCAGCTGTTTCTTTATAATTTTAAAATACTATGCAGAAAATTTTGTATCTTTTTCCCTCTTTCCACATGAAAATATTTTGTGCTTTTAACCTCCTTATTCCTTTTCCTTAATTTCTTTTTCACCTCCTTTTTTCCTCTTTCTCCCTCTTCCCTACATCACTCCTTTTCTCTCTCTGAGTCCCACTCTTTCCTTCTTTTTCCTCCCTTGAGTTTTCATGCTCTCTCTCCTTCTCTATCTCCCCATTTATTTAACTATGAGTTTTACCAGTTTTCAAAGAAATAATTAGGACAGGGGATGAAGTTGTTTGGGAGAAAAGTGCAATAAATTTACTTTTCCTGAAAAACCAAAGAGTGTTCTTGTGGGGAAAAGCTGCAAATAATAGAAATCAGTGACAGGAATTTGGAAAGAATTCCATCATACTAAGATTTATGCCATGGTGACAAATCACATGGAAAATAGTCATTATGAAACTAAATTGATTTATTGATGATAATTTGTCTGGCAAATATTTTAGAGTCCTTGAGGTAAATGAATTAGGTATTTCCAATTCAACATGGGCTCAAGCTCTTTTCTGCAGCTGCCAGAAGGATGGCTATGTTACTTACTGCCTATATTGATGCATTTTCATGCTTCATTTGCTATAAGCTTTGGTTTTCTGTTTCGCATAAGTGACTCATCCGAGGTAGTCTTAGCTTTAGATCCAGAGATTGATTATGCGTTTTGTTGTGTAACATACTTCCGAGGAATTTAAAATATAAACTTGTTTTCTAGTGATTTATTGAATGAAAATCATAGTATCTAAGTCAAGTCCCACCCCACAAAGGGAAACGCCATTTAACTTTTATTTTAATTAAGCCTGTATTTTATTTCATCTTTAACCATTTTTTATTGAGTAATTGTATTTTTTATGCATACACCATTCCAGTACCATAGCAGAGAATCCGCTTCACTCTACCAGTATGTCAGTGGCTCCTTTTAGCCCCCGCTCCAAATAAGCTCATTCTATAGACAAAATCTTCACTTTGATTACTTTGACCAGTTGTTATTCCCTTACTATGTTTTTTGTTTATCCCACATATGAGAGATCTTTTTCTTTTTAATTTATTGTGGAGGTGGTGATATCTACAAATTTATAGAAGAATAGAGCTAAACTTCTGAAATTCCACAGGATTGTAAATCAGTGATAAGTTGATAAAATACAATTTTTTTAAAAAGCATATTTTACTTGTATATGTGGTAAAATTAATTTTATAATCATGTGCTAAATACATTTACAAAGCTCACATAAAATAGGTAATTCCTACAAGTTTTAAATTTAGTAAGAGTGAGGACAATTAAGAACATTTTAAGGAGAGAATATGTTTAAGGGTAGGAAAGGGAATAGTGTATGTTAAAAAGATACTGCAGACAATTTTTAAGTATATACATTAATAAAAATATTGAAATAAAAATCAATGGTTATAAAAAAATACCTGACGAGACATAGAACACACAGTATAAATGAGCAGTAATTCATTTTTGAAAATGTGAAAAATTCCTTAGTAAGCTAGGAGTAAATAATATTTTCTTAATCTAGTAGAGGAAAACTATAAGTGCCATGAGTGAATGCCATACTCAGTGCAAGTGCTGAGAAGTTTGTCTTATCTTTTAGAGTAACATCTTGAATACTTCTTGTAAAACTGGTTTCAGGTCTATGAATTCCCTAAGCTATTGACTGTTCCGATTCCTTCTGTCAAATCTGAACATTGGTTTAGCTGGATAGTGTGTTCTTGGTGTTGTGTTCATTTCATTGAAATGAATTTGTGTACTACATCCCTCCATTCTCTTCTGGATTGTAGAGTCTCATTTGTTAGATCTGCTGTAAATCTTAAATACTTTCCTTTGTATGTAAGGCTCTTCTGTTGAATGTGACTTTGAGTTTTTCTATTTGTATCTGTTTTCACTGGGAACCGCTAGGCCTCTTGTATCAGAGAGTGTCTGTATTCCTTAATTCTGAGAAATTCTTATCTCTTATTTATGTAAGTATTTTATCCCCCTTCCTGTTGTTCAGGGACTCCTATGATTCTTCTATTGCTCCTTTTGATCTCATTCCATAGTTCTCTTCTGTGTTAATCATTTATTTTCAGACCATTTTTCCATCTTCCAATTTTTCTACAGGTTCCCTCCATCTCATCTTGGAGCTCCTTGGTCTCTTCCTTAGGTGCTATTATTTTGCTGCTCAAACCTTCTATTGAGCTTTCTATTTTACCTACTATATTCTTCATTTCTGTAACTCTTGTAACTCCTAGTTATCTCATTTCCACTCGCATACTTTCTTGTGCTTTGCTATCTGTGCCATTATTTCCTTGAGCTCATTAAACATTCTCAACATGGTGTCACTGAAAGTCATTCTCTGAGAATTTACAGAGCTTGTTGGTGCTGGTTGAGTCTTCTGTGTTATCTTGTTTGCTCATTGAGGTTGGTGGGCTTCGTTCCATCCTTTTCATTGGGTTTGATGTTCTCCTGCTGTGCTAAGGGTAAATCTCTGTAGCTAGCAGCCTCCTCCTTTCATCTCCAGAATTGCTGAGGGATTATGCTGGTAGATGATCTTTTCCTTCTCTGCAGGGCTTCACCCAGAGACAAGAAGTATAATTGTGAGAAATGTAAGATTTGATGAGTAGAACTGTGCCATGACTGCATACATGGATTCGTGGTTCAGCAGATGTGGAACTGCATCTGTTGATATGGTAGAGGTTTAGCATAGAGGCTGTAGAAGTGCACCTGTGGAGATGTCAGCCAGGATATTAATCATATCTGAAAGGTGGAGGAGGAAGCAGAGGTTCAGGAGATGTGGACCTGGGCCTCTTGTTACCTTACTAAGTTTATACTGCTTAATGTTTATGGAGAGCCTTGTGGAGTAGAAGAATTACTTTTTTAAAAATTTGGGGGTGGTGGAATTTAGGCACAGTTTTTCATTGGCAAAGTCCAATTGGGATGGTAGGAGTTGTGTTGGTCATTAATGCTTTCAGATATCTCTTTTGAAGAGTAGAATCTCTGACAAAGTGAGAATTGTATCACATTCTCAGGAGGATATATATGCATTTACTGGTAGCTTTTTTTCTTTTTTGCCTTTCAGAATCTCTGCCAAGAACTGGAAGCAAAGTTTTATGAAGGGACTTTTAATTGGGAAAGTGTCAAACAACATGACGCAGCCAGCCTGCTAAAGCACTTCATCCGGGAGCTGCCCCAGCCGCTACTTAGTGTTGAATATCTCAGAGCCTTCCAGACTGTCCAGAGTAAGTGCCATCCTTCTTTGAGGCACTCTTTGTACTGGTGCCACCCACATTAATAGTCATTTTGCACTACAAAGGCAATAACCAGCTATATTTAGAGGGACATATTGACTCACTGATGTCTGTGGATACTCAAATGCCACATTTCCTTCATAAATATATGTATCTGAGTAAATAGATAACACACTGTTCTCCTCAAATACAGATTAATTACATGGCCTTTAAGCAATTCAATATATTTTATTCTAGAAACCTGGAAAATTCATATATATTTTCTACTACAATGAGTCATATAAGATCTCTGATAGATTTTTCTTGCCAAGTGTTAAAAGCAACACTTACTGGAGAAGCTGTGGATTAACAGTTATCATAAAGGCACAAAAAGATGTGGCAGAGACTACAATTATTTCTTTAAAAATATGAAATTGTCATGCAGAAACATGGAAGAAATCACTTGGCTGTCTTATTGGTGGAGGGCAACAATCTTATGCCATTTTGTGGTCTTGGGTTGACTCCAAACGAATGCCTTATATAGTTCTAAATTCCTTTCTAGTGAATACAGAGATCTTAGGAGGTTTGTGTATTGTCATAATTTCTCATTTACTCATAGAAGCTACTGAAGAAGGAAAAGTGTATTAACCACATTTTACTGACCATACTTTAATTTCCAGCTGGAGCGATAGTACAGCAGGTAAGGCATTTTCCTTGCATGCAGCCAAACTAGGTTTGATTCCACTGTCCCTCTCAGAAAGCCCAAAAACCTACTGAGAGTATCCCACCCACAGACAGAGCCTGGAAAGCTCCCCATGGCATATCCTATATGCAAAAACCAGGTAACAACTAGTTGCACAATAGAGATGTTACTGGTGCTGGCTTGAGCAAATCTATGAACAATGGGAGGACAGTGCTATTTTAATTTCCAAATTGGGTGCTTTTGAGAATAAAACAGGGCACAATGAATGATAATGATAAATCATAAGATCATTCAAAACTGTTCTAGACTTCTCTTAAAGCATGCAGTTTTGAGATGTTTCTCATGAGTCATTTCAGGTTATTACTTCAGAATTTCTTGGGTTCAGCAATGTTAGCAATAGAGTAGTTAACCTACTGCCTTCCAGAATTTCTAGAGAAGACGTGACTGAAATCAGACTTGGGGTTTGAAAATGTTTGGTCTGCTATTTCACTTTTGCCCCTTGAATGTCAACTACAGAACCAAAATATGTACTGAAAAACAAATACAGGAGTGATTTCCAGTACCCTTGAGTATTGCTTAAATGGTAAATAGGCTGCTGAAGATGAGTTTGTGATAATAAGATGCTACTTTGAGTCTTCATTGCTGGTTATTTTTCTAAGTTATTCCACAAATATTTACCAAATATCTCTTGTGTTCCAAGTTCTGTTTTACACATTCCTTCTGGGACCGATGGACTCATACACCCTGTAGTTTGTTCACTTCCCACAGAAAAAAAAATCAAATTTCACTGATGTACTTTCATTGCCATATCACAGGAGTAGGGGGGGGGCAATCTTCTGTATTTCTTTATTGGGGGAGTAATTGTCACACCGAAGTGAAACGTATTTCCAAAGCACTGTTGTGTGTCTGCAAACATAAGGCTGTGCGTCATCTGATCACAGTTGGAAGTGAGCATTCGGAGAGAGGAAGTTCTAAAGCAACAGCTGCTTCTCCCTCTCCCCCACAAACACACTTGCACCAAGAAGCGCTGCTCAGCCGTTGTATCTTGCATTTCTCAAAGATGTTTATGCCAAATAACTTTTTTTTTCTTCGATAACTGTAATAAGAAAGGAAAGGGAACTGGTTCACTCAAGAGTTAGATTTCAGCTCTGTTTAATCTGTTTGCAGATCTGCCAACCAGGAACCAGCAGCTACAGGCCTTGAACCTGCTTGTCATTCTCCTGCCTGATTCAAACAGGGACACACTGAAGGTCAGCTGGCTTCATTTACATTAAATAATCCTTAGAACCAAGCAAAGTCACTTTTCATTATTTGTGGCAAAACATTGGATGTTTGTCATGGAAATGTTAGTAGAAGTCTATATAAAGAAAAGAAATGTTTTTAAGAAGGGCAGAGGGTAAGAAACGGGCTTTAGTAGTTCGCTAATTTATTTGCTAGGTTAGTTGTGGTATTAATATGACTAAGTCTTACTTTTGGTTTTTTGAAGATAAGTTTATTTAGAAGATGAGGGGAGAGAATGAGAGTTTTGCACACAAAGTGGAGAAAGGGACACAAATCAAGTAGAGCTGCAGTGAATTCTCAGATGGAGAATGTGCACCATAAAAAAGAAATTTCACAACAGGCAGATATGTGGGCCTCTGCCCCCAAATAAGAGAATGCACCTTGTTTATATATATATATATATATATATATATATATATATATATATTGAATCACTGTGGGAAAGGTTACAAAGCTTTCAGGTTTAGGTCTCAGTCATGCAAATATCAAACACATTTCCCTTTACCAATACTTATTTTTTACCATGAAGAACCCCAATAAAGCCCCACCCCCCACCCCTCCCCGTCCCTGTGAGGCAGATGAATTCTAGTTAACACTCTATCTGCTTTGATTAGATTCATTGTTTCAATAAAAGATTCACCACTATTATTTAGAGTTTACCCCCCAAATCAGACATGCTGAAAAAGCATTGTGAAGTGATTTGCTTTCTACAGCTGGGTTCAAGAATTAAATGTTGGTTTTGGATTTCTGCTATTTTACCTATGTTTTTATATTTTTACTAAAATATTTTTCTACCCCAATATTGGAGTTTATTTCTTATGGAAACGTGAATTTTTTGTGTCTTTCTTCTAATTTCCTACCATTTCCAAATTTTCTTTAATATGTTTATAGTACTAAGGTTTTAAAAGTTAATATTAAAAAGAAACTAAAAAGCTAGACTCATCAAACATAACCTAGAGTTTCCCAAAGTGTGTATAGTTTAAATCAGTAGAGCTTGAAATAATAAATCATGATGATTTCAGAATATTTGGTTAGCTAAGAGATTAACCAACTGAAAAAATTTTAGTTATTTCTCTAAGGTATTTTATACCTTAAGTTTCTGATTTATGTCATCATTTTAAAGTGATTTTGTATAGTAATAGTATGATTTAATGCCATCTATTATAAGTAATAAGACTTTTATAGTAATTTTTAGGGTGTAACACATTGATTTATTTTTGAATGGGAAACCTTTATTGAATAAGTTGTATGTTGAATATCTTAACTATTAAAATATTGTAAAATTTAAACAATACACTTTTGTAAAATGAAAAGTGAAAACAGGATATCTGATTTAGGGACTCTAGATAGTAGAGGATAAGGCACTGGCCTTGCATATGCAGGGATTTCGTCCCTCTGTACACCACCAGAGATAATTCCTGAGTGCAGATCCAGGATTAAATCTTGAGCATCACCATGTCGAAAGTAGACTATGGACTGAACATGTTTGCCACTCAATGCCTCTTTTGCAGACCAGAACACCCAAAAGGAGAGAGAGAACACAAGGGATTGCCCTGCCACAGAGGCAGGGTGGGATGCGGGGGATGGGGGTGGGGGAATATTAACCATGGTGGTGGAAAATGGGCACTGGTAGAAGGATGGGTATTTGATCATTGTATAATCGAAACCCAAGCACAAAAAATTGCAAATCTATAACTGTACCTCATGGTGTTTCACTAATAATAATAATAAAAAAAAGAAAAAATCTTGAGCATCACCAGAAACGGCCCCAAAACCAAACAAATCAATAAATAAAATCAATAAATAGATGTGTAAATCAACATATACACAAATATTATAATATGTTTATAACACATATAAATGTTTAATATATTTATGCATATATAACAGAATACTTTCATTATGGCTTAAGTTTTTACAGATAAAGGAGGAACCTTTGAATAATTCATTCCCTACATGTCTTTCAATTAAAATGAAGTATATTAAGAAAAAGAAACCACCTGTTGGTTAATATTGAACAGTTTTTCCCAAGCCTCATTAGGACTCCTTGAACTGAAATTGGATGAGTAATAGTCCTTTCCTATCCATGGAATGAATCTTAATACCCAACTTTAATAGAAGAGGCAGTAGGGAGGATTAGGGGAATAAAAACATTACATTCTAATAGAAGAACTCACAAGGGTCATTCTGATTACTAAGTTGAGGGCAGGGGGAGAACAACCCTCTTGCTTCACTGTCAAATGAATAGCAGTGAAGGCAGCAACTTGTTTTATTTTTTCAAAAGCTATTAAATTGCCATGGGATAGAAAAATGGCTCATAATTAAGTTTAAGTTGGACAATGTTTGAGCACCCATCTCTTCACCAGTGTCTACTTCCCTCCACTAGTGTCCCCAGTTTCCCTCCAGCCCCCAACCTGCCTCTATGGCATACACTTTTCATTTTCTTTTTTTCTTGTAGACCTGTTACTGAAAGTGTGTCATGCATGTCACTTTACCTCCTTTCAGTATCCATTTCTTTCCCAGAGTGATCATTTCCCACCATCATGGTCACATCATGGTCACAAGAGATATGCCTTCCCTTACCTAACTACCCTCCCTCCATTGTGGCAAACATTCTGCTAGGGACCAGTCCCTCTGGCCTTCATTTCTTAAGTTTCCACAAGGCCCAGTAATTCTGCTCCTGGGAATATAGCCTAACGGCCCCAAAAACACAATTCAGAAAAGGCGTCTGTACTCCTATGTTTTTACAGCGTTATTCACAGTAGTCAAAAGTTGGAAACAACCTAAATACCCAAGAACAGACAAATAGATAAAGAAGCTATGGTACATGTACACAATAGAATACTATACAACTATTAGGGAAAAAATGAACTCCTGAAACTTTCTGATACATGGATGGGACTGAATATTATTGTACTGAGCAAAATGAATAAGAGTAGGAGCGCCAGACATAGAATGATCACACTCCTTTGCATGTTTTGATTTGTTTTAACATAGAGGCCAAGTCTATCATGAGTTCTGTTTAAACCTTATGTGTTACTATGTGACCAGGTGTATGGTGCTGAAGCAGGGACAGCATAGGGACTACTGTCCAGTCTGTCCTCTGCCAACAATTCCCAGGACAAAGGGTGTCACAACCTGATAGTAATATGGGGTATGTCTTTTTCTTATTTGGTTAGAGGACCCTGTCTGTAAGGTCACCTAGTTCACCACAGGCTGCAGCAATCAATAGACCTATTTTAATTACAAATAAGCCTGTCTTTAAATAATTTCATAGGGTTGAAAGAGGAAATGTTTATTTCAGTACGGTTACCCATGGGTAAGGCTGGTCTAGAACTGATTATCCTCAAAGTTCCAGAGATACTCTGAGCACTTTTTATTAAAATGTTCATTTTGTTTTAGAGTTGTTAAGAGATCATACTTTGAATTAAGGTGAAAACATTATTTTGCATTAAAAAAAAACCTGGGAAAATTACAAACAGCTAATTTACTTAATTTCCTGTAACTTTTTAAGTTGTTCTTTTTTGTTTGTTTGGGCGCCTTACCTGGAAGTGCTCAGGGGTTACTACAGGCTCTGCATTCAGGAATTACTTCTGGCAGTGTTCTGGGGAGCATATAGACTACCAGGGATTGAACCTGATCAGCCACATGTAAGGCAAGCGCTCTACCCACTGTACTGACTCTCAGGCCCCAGCCTTTTAGGCAGTTCTAGTGAAGGTTTCAAGCAAGAATTATAATAGAAAAGTTGAAATCAGTATTTTATATATGCAAGATAATAAGCCATTTATTTATTTATTTATTTGCTTTTTGGGTCACACCCGGCGATGCACAGAGGTTACTCCAGGCTCATGCACTCAGAAATTACTACTGGTGGTGCTCAGGGGACCATATGGGATGCTGGGAATTGAACCTAGGTTGGCCGCGTGCATGACAAACGCCCTACCCATATCACTCTAGCCCCAAGCCATTTATATTCAAACTTACAAAAAATAAGAGAAACTCCATCACTAAGGAATTTCAGGAACCCAAACACACAACATTCCTTCCTTCCTTCCTTCCTTCCTTCCTTCCTTCCTTCCTTCCTTCCTTCCTTCCTTCCTTCCTTTCTTTATTTCTTCCTTTTTCCTGGTGTCAGTGTCCCATCTTCAGTTGCTAGTTAGAGCAAATTGGACTTGTGTGATGTGAACAGTTTCTACAGTTCATGTAAGTTTTAGAGACACCATATTAAATTTCACTTTCTGACCTGAGTCTAATGTGACAGGTGCCACTGGCAAAGATGTAACTGGTATTTGTTTTTAATTTTCAAATATTGCATGTTTGAAACAATGATCACACCTACCTTTGACATGGTTGACAGATTAATGCTATTATTGGCACTTGTTTATCACTTTGGTAGATTTAGGAAGATAATTTTTTCACTTAGTACTGGCAGGTTAGGAGACCATATTCTCATCTAGCAGCAGAATAGCCATAAATAGCTGAGATACCAATAGGTTTACCTTTTCAGCCAGTTGGTGACTAATGGGACCAAAACTAGTTTTTCAAAAAATTCTGCTTCCTATTCAAATAAAAAGAAAATGCATTTGCAGATGATTTTTTAAGCAAGTGTAAGACTAACATTTTATTAATTTCTTATCTATAGGGTAGATATTCCTAGTATTTTAATAGCAATATTTTGAATAACATTATAGTATATTTGCACAATAGTTAAAATGGTTTCTTACCTAATCTCTATAATACATGTCTGTAAATAGATATATGAATCCCAAATAATTATTCTGGTCTTGAGCAAAAGTAAGTATTTTTTCAAAGCTCACTAATTTTTTAACCTCATTGAAAGAGGCGTTACTTTTGTAGAATTTTAGTAATGATATCAGTTTAACTTCCTGGGCACTGTACTGAAAAATTGCATATATAAATCTCACTTTTTGATATATAGACTATGCCTTTGTTTCAAATCGTTACCATCTACATAGCTAGCTAGCAGCTAAATTTGATTCCAAAATCAACTTGTTAGTACTTCTAAGAAGTCCTTACCTTTTCTCACCCCCTTGAAGTCCTCTGAGAAAGACAGGTTATGTTTTTTTTTTTCCTTTCTCCTCTATGATATAGTTTAGTTGATGTTTCCGGGTAGGAATTTTTAGACAAAACATAAAAGCATGGTTTTCAGTTAAGAGTGAAGAAACTAAAGTCAAACAGACCTATAATTAATTTTCCCCCCATCATTTGCTAGCTACATGACCGCTGTCAATCAGTCACCACTACTTTCTCACCTGTAAAATGAGGATAATTGTGTTATCTCCAGAGATGATTAAATGCAATTTTCTCTGTGGTGTGTTTAAAACAATGTCTCATGAATAATGAACACTGGATGTCTATATAGTTATTATTTTCATAGACCAAAATTAAGAAAAATGCCCAAAGAAAGCTTAAAAACAAGTATTATAAGAGGCAGGTATTCTAAGCTACGGTGGATTTTGTGGAGAGTAGGCTGAGAGGTTGTGTGAGATGTTGGCATTAGAGGCAGAAAGTGGGTGGTATCAAACTGAACATAATCTAGTCTATGCTGATAAAAAGTTCCTTTTCATTCACTTATTTTAATTAAAAAATTGGGTCTCCATTCTCCATTCCTCTCAGCACAATCCCCATTCATTTCAGATTTCATGTCAGTCAACTATTGAGTTCCTTAACAAATGAAACTGGGGATGAATGAGCCTTTAAAAAGGACTCAATAAAATTCCTTGAGATAAATTTTGTACAGTGCTTCTTGAAGCAAGTGTATATTTGGTGATATTTTAAGCCGCTTTTCAGTGTTTCATGGCTCCAGTAGGCTAGAATCAGATTATTTCTCCCTTCCTCCCTCACTACCTCCTTCAGATGTGAGACCTCTCAGTCTCATTTTCTAGCACCGTGGTTCTTAGTAAAAACAAATTACCACCTGGGAGTGTGTTAACCTAGTGGAGAAGCTTGACAACAAATTCTTTTGGATGAATCGATAAAGCAGACTCTGGTTATGTGTAGTTTATTTAAATATTCCACATTCTATTGTGATTTCATCTCTTAGCTCCCCATACAACAGTAATCTTAAAATCTTTTTTGTTTCAGGCCCTGCTTGAATTTCTTCAAAGAGTAATAGATAAGAGAGAGAAAAATAAGATGACAGTAATGAATGTGGCAATGGTCATGGCCCCCAATCTCTTCATGAGTCACACATGGGGATTAAAGTCCAATGAACAGCAAGAATTTGGAATGGCAGCTGGCACAGCTAATGTCATGCACTTATTGATTAAATATCAAGAAATTATCTGGACAGTAAGTATATATACTTGAAGTGCTGTTAATAAGCCTTGCTCTCTAAATTCTGAAGTCTTTTTATTGTTATGTTCCCTATTTTTTTTTAAGAAAAGCAATTGGGAGAGGTGACTAGAAATGATTAAAGGTTAATGTCAATTTGTCTAACCCCAGTTTTCAAAATGCCTGCAGTGTTTCAGATTGTCACTTGGGTAGCTTTTCAAGGATCCTGGTTTGTGGTGGGAATGGGGTTCAGTGGTAAAGCATTTACCTTGTATGTGTGAGACCTGATCCTATCCCTGGTACTGCCTACCCCACTAATTGTTTTTTAATTCTGCTAATGTGTTTTCTCTGAATCATTTTTTCTTAGATTATTGCTAGGTTTCTGTCAGCTGCTGTTTATTGGTGAGGGTTTTTTTTCCTCTTATTTGACAGAGAATTAAGTGGTTCATAGGGTCACTGCATGCAAGGCAAACGCCCTACCGCTGTGCTATCGCTGGGACATAGGGTTAGTTAGAGTCTATGTTGTAGGCCAGTGACCACTAAAGGGACCAATAGGCAATATCCTGATTCCTGATATAACTCTGTCCAGTCTCCTATATTTACATATGTGACATGGCCAGTGGCTACAATAATTTTGAATTTCAGCCTATGACCTGGAACTTCAAGTGTCTTTTGGGGTGGTGGCTAAGAGTTGCCCTGTACTGCTGGAAAATGAATAAACAAATGCAATGAGCTACAGGTATATTGAATAGTATAGCACAGCACAGTAGCACAGTCCTTCCATTGTTCATCGATTTGTTTGAGCAGGTCCACTAACGTCTCCACTGTGAGACTTGTTACTGTGTTTGGCATATAGAATATGTCATGGGTAGCTTGATAGGCTTTGTCGTGTGGGCGAGATATACTTGGTAGCTTGCGCGGCTCTCCGAGAGGGGCGGAGGAATTGAATATGGGTCAGTCCGGCCGGCCACATGCATGGCAAACGCCCTACCACTGTGCTATCGCTCCAGCCCACTGAATAGTAAATATATATATACATATATGTGTATATATATGTAGATTCATCAGAGACGAATATATATATGTAGATTCGTCAAAGAGACAAAACCTTTATCTTTTTTATCTTTTTTAATTAAAAAAGTACTTTTTTGTTGTTTAACATGGCCCTTTTCCATTTTCCTCTCTAATCTTAATTTCATCTCTCCATAGATTCCGCAATTTATTCTCAGCCAACTGAGAAAACTGAACACTGAAAAGCAGAAAAAAGAGAAAAAAGCCAGGAAGAAATTGCTGAAGAAAATGACTCACGATCGAGAAAAATATGAAAAACAAGATAAGAATACAAATGATGTAAGAAAAATGTGAAGATGTATATGTATATAGATGTCTGGATTTTATTTAATAGGCATGTAAGAAAGAGTTCCAGGGAAACTTTTGGAACAACGTTCTATAGATTTATAGTTTCTGGGATCACTAATATATGAAGGACATTAATAATGATAACAATATTTTCTACTGTACTGAGAAACAGTATTGATAATTGCTCAGGTATGTGTGTGACTCAGCATATGAGCTGTTAATGGGGAACAAAGGAAGAGAAGAAGACTGTGATGTCTCCACATTCCCCTCATACCCACATGTCAGAATACACACATACAAAAATCCTCCAAGTGCTCACTGAATGTTCAATGCGTTCTGAGTTTTCTGATGATTTTTCTTCAATTTTTTTCTATCTGTAACATGGAGAAAAACAGAGAGACAAGTAGGTCAGTGTTTCTTTCATGCCCAGCAATCATTCTAGACTTCAGTAAATAAAGGTTCGTATTTGACTGATAAGAAAAATTTAGAAAGATGTTGGAAAAAAGAAAATCAAATCATATTTTTAAATTAAAAAAATCAATATCTGCAAATTGCTCTAAAAATCTATTAAAAACTGGATGTAAAATAATGAAATGTTTATGAAAATTTATTTTTGAATTAAGTTAGAATTTTATATTGTGAGATAAGAGGTTTTCTATTGTTCTATTTTTCATGAAGACCCCTGCACCACTCACACACACCCCACTGTTACCACCACCTTAACCACCATAACCACTATTGAGGATATTCAGTTACATGCTGACATCTTGTGGAATAATGTGGAAATGTAATTATTGGTCTGATTTTTTTTTTTTTGCTTTGGCCTACTTAGGGAACCAGTAAGTATCTATTATATATTATTGCTCGCTACATGTATGTATATATGTGTGTGTGTGTATATATATGTATATATATATAACATTCATTCATAGTTCTCATACTTATTACATTTTCTTAGCACTTATTTTTTATTATTTTGAAGGTTCTTTAAAATATAAAATCATTTCTATTCATTTAAAATCATTTACATTTTATATAAATAAAATCATTATAAAATCATTTATATCAAAAGGGATCATTTTGAATAGTTATTTTTAAAAAAAAGGACTTGAAATTTTAATGGGTTAGAAAGGGCTTTTATGATGTCTTTTTAACACATCATGGGAGGGAGTTGCTTCTGAAATATTTGTAGATATATGAATAGCTCCCAGTTTATAACCCTTCTCGTCTTTTTTATGGGACACTTGCAATGTGATAGTCTGATGTATGGTCTGTATCTCAGGAAACAAAACCAGTGTCTTACTTTTAAAGTAAAAAGTCCTGTAACAGCACTGAAATATAACCTTTGAGCTAGAACACAAATAATTTTGTCATTTACAGGCATTAACAGGGATCTCAGTAATTTCTACGTTAGGTTAATTCGACATCAACTGGTTCAAGAATTACCTTTCTACTGGTTAGAAGTTTGTCTCCTCATTTTAAAGTCAAGCATTTAAACCTGGATTTATGACATTTTCTTAGCACTTATTTTGTATTATTTTGAAGGTTCTTTAAAATATAAAATGTAGTAAGGGATCATTTTGAATAGTTATTTTTAAATAACTGAATTTTTTTAAAACTTTTTTTTTTCATTTGTTAGCTCTCACTTAAATTTCTCAGAGATTGTGTCTTCTGAAAAAGCCAGCAATTCCTTTTGAATTAATAAAAAATTATTTAATAAGAACCTCCTTGGTGCTAAGATATGCACCTCCTGCTCCTACACACACACAAACACACACACACAAACACACACTGTGGGGTTTCTTTTATTGTTGTTTTTTGTTTTTGTTTTTATTTTGTTTTTTTTTTGGTTCCTAAAGTGCGATGGAGTTGGGTGCTCACCTTTGAGAACTTGGATTGGGATTTAGAGAGTCTCTCAGAGGTGCTAAGGTGTATGATAGAATTCTGACCTGTGGGATAGAAAACACAACATATCAGACAGAATTCAATAGGGAGGAAAGCCAAGGTGTGAAAACTCACTGGTGTTATTTAGTCAGGAAATTGAGAAGTTGCAGTAGACAGCAGAGGAACCTTACTGGTTGAGTGGTGGCCTAAATTTGTGACTGCACCTCATGTGGAAGCCTCTGCGTTTTTGACTGAAACCTTTCAATCACTTGCCAACGTTTCTTTTTAAAGTGACTCTCATTTTATGAAGGAGTATAAGTATATGCATATGCAAATTTCAAAACAAAAAGTGTAAGATAACATCAAATACTGTGACTATGTGGTGAGTCACTCATCTGAGTTTTCTACCTAAGCTTCCACTGCTTGTCCAAACTTAACAATGAAAAGACTTAACAGAACCTTAGACTTCTATCTTGGCTAAGTGGATGTGGGAGCTTCCCAAAGACTCCTGGAAGTTGGGGACCTCTTCCCCCTAGGACCCAGTTGCCCTTATCTGAGCAGCACCTGCTGACTTTACTAGAGACCTTGTTACTTTTCCATGAGCCAAGCCTCAATTCTGTCTTCTTGGTTCATGTTTCTTGACACTTCCCCTGATTCCCTTGAATATGCAGCTTAAGTCTATAGTACATAAAACTGCCTAGGATATGGTATCCATTTCTTAATTGAAGTGTATTTGCCTATTACAGACGATACACGACTGTAGTCACTTTAATTGCATTATTGAACAAAATTGATAACTACTACATTTGTCTATATTATTTACATTCTGTAGATAAAAGTGGAGAAGAAGCAAACTTGATAGTATCTTGGTATGTGACAAGTGCCCTAAAATAATTTAAAAAATAGTAGAAAAATGGACCCAGGGAACCTTTTGCTATATCAAGTTGATAATCTGGAAATTAAACTATTTTTAATTGAGATTCTGTGGTTTACACTGCTATTAATAATGATTTCTCATACACATAATTCCAATACCACAGCCATCATCAATGTACGTCTCACTCTTCCACAGACCCCAAGACTCTTTACTCCCAACACCCACCAAAACTCATTTGTGTGGGTCACTTCTCCTATTGTGTTGCCATTAAGCCATTATTGCTACCTTGTTGTGCATCTTTAAGTCCCACCATGAGAGTCCTACATTCTGTATGTATCTCTTTCTCTGACTTACTTCTCTGAGCATGACATCCTCCTGTTACATGCATGTTGCTGCAGATTGCATTATTTTGTCCATTTTTAGAGCTGCATAATATCCCATTGTGTATTTATAGCATAGTACTTTGAACCATTCATCTGTAGATGGGTGTTGGGTTGTGTCCATATTTTAGCTATTGTATTAAGTGCTGGGAACAGCTTAAGTGTTTATATAATTTTGTGAATTCATTTTGAGTTTTGGAGATAGATGTCAAGAAGTGATATTGCTGAATTGTATAGTAGCTCTATTCTTACGTTTTAGATTATTCTCCTTATTGCTTTCTACAAATGCCAAACCATAAAATATTTCTACCAACGTTTGATGAGGGTTTCTTTCTCACGACAGTCCATCCAACACTGGCTATTGGAAACTCAACTATTAAGTTGAATTTTTTATTCCAGAGAAATGGTGATGAAGAAGAGCAGTAAGCTGATTTGTGTTTATATCATAGGAAGTATATAAGAATGTGCACACAATTAATAGGAATTTGGATTTCTCCTGAGTGAGATAGGGTTATTACTGTGTTTTGAGCAAAGGCTTACCTCTCATATCTTAAATTATCCATTGGACTGTTGTGTTGAGAATAGAATCTAAGGGAGTAAGAATAGAATAGGAGATCATGTAAGAATCCTGTACCTTAATCCAAATGAGCATGGTATTAACATTAGAGGTGTAAAACTAAGAAATTCTGGATATTTTGAGACTAGAGCTATATGTGTTTCTTTCTTTGGGGGGGCTACACATCCAGTGGTTCTCAGTGCTTACTCCTGGCTCTCCACTCAGGCAGGATTTCTGGTGGGCTCAAGGAACCATATAGGGTGCTGGGGTTCAAACTTGGGTCAGTTGCATGCAAGGCAAATGCCCTACCCACTGAACCATTGCTCCAGCTCCTAGATCCATAAAAAGTATTTATTGATGCAAATAATTGGAGTTGTAAGAGAGAGAGAAAGAAGACAAGAATGACTTGAATTTTTCTATTGAGAAATCAGAAAAGTAGGATTGATGCTGGTTAGAGTAGACCACAGTTTTAATTGGGGACAGGTTGTGTGTGAGTTTCTGTCAGGTATTTACATTAAAATGATTCAGGGGATTTTTGAAGGACAATTGGCCATCTTCGATGCATGGGGGTACAGGAACAGAGCGACATTGCAGTGTGGATCAGACCCAGAGGGAAGATATGGGGGTTTAGGCTTGCTCTGCATGCAGCTGACATGGTATGATTCACAGCACAACATCCTCTGAATACCTTGAAGAGTGACCCTTGAACCCAGAATCAGAAGTAAGCCCTGGGCCCTAATAGATGTGGTCCTCCCTCCTTCTTCCCCCAAAGTGTGTGCAGTGGGCAGGGGTGGGGAGCAAAGAAAGGGACTGCGGGAGGTCAGTGGGGTTCAGCAAGAAGCCAGGATTCTTAGTCAGTAGGGGATGGCTGAAAGATAGGAGCCGAAGAGTTATATAATTATATTAGCATTTTAGAACAGTTGCTATAATGACAGGTAAACAAATGATCAAAGGTTCAATTGATGATTAGACAGGGAATAAATGAGTAGAATCCTTTTGACAAGCAGGTGACATATAACAACATCCTGAATTTATCTTGCTCATTAGATTCAAAGGGAATAATACAGCAAGTAGGCAAAATACTGTCACTGTCCTCCCGTTGTTCATAGATTTGCTGGAGCGGGCCCAGTAACATCTCCATTTTGAGACTTGTTGTTACTGTGTTTGGCATATTGAATACTTCATGGGTAGCTTGCCAGGCTTTGCCATGCGGGCGAGATACTCTCGGTAGCTTGCCGGGCTCTCCGAGAGGGGCAGAGGAATCGAACCCGGCTCAGCTCGGCTGGCTGCACAC